GTGTTACTGCCTCGGCTCTTCAGAGCCTTTCTGGCAGGAAGGGCCTGGTCCGCAGCCGGGGGAGGAGCGAGCTGGCCGGCCTCCTTCTTAGCCGAGGGCACGAAATGCCAGACACCCCTCCCCCGGTCGTTCTCAAGTCTGCGCAGCCCCTGGAAACCCTTTGGGGCCCAGGTGCCTCTCCAAGGAAGGAGGCTGCCTGTCTCTTGGGTCGTCTGTTGGGAAGTGCCCAGATAGACAAGCAGACTGAATGCAGCTCTGCTTCCAGCCGGCGCTAGCCTGGGGAGCCAAGGCTCCGCATCTGGGTCGAGAGCTTGGTATCGTCAAACGACTCCTGGCAACCACACTAGTGCGGTAGGGGAGGCTGCTGCCCCACTTTACAGGGCACAAGGGTAACGATTTGCCTGAGGCCCTGGGGTGAGTTGGCGGCAGAGCTGGGGACTGGCAATCGGTCTCCCATCGCCCAGGCCTGTGCTTGGCCAGCCATGGATTGCGGTGGGAGAGCCGCAGGGGGGGCGGGGATAGGTTGGTTGGTGTTTTTAAATGGCTTCAGTGCTGCGGGGTCTCTTAGCGTGGATTGCCAGCACTGACCGCCACAGGAAGTGCAGGGCGAAGGAGGGAAGTGAGGGGGCTACTCCAGGCGTGTGCGCACGTCCTCCAACCTCTCCTAAGATCCAACAGTAACCCCTCTCAGCTGTGGAGGCCCTACGGTTGTCCCCAGCAGAGTGTTGCCGCAAAGTGCCCCCTAATGCCCAACTTCCTCCCCTCCCCCCCAACACACACACACCTCAGTGCGGGGTTGGGGAGCTTTTTTGGGTGGAGGAGAGCCCAGAAAACCCCTCAGGAGAGCATGTCTCATGGGGATTTGCCTTCCTGCTCTGTGGGCCCAGGTGCGGACACCAGGGGCTGAGATCTTGTTCCATCCTCTGCCTTTCCATTGAAGGTCAGCGACATGTTTGACTTGTTTGTACCCAGCTGTGTGCAGCCAATTGGTTTTTCGTTTTTTTCTTGCACAGCCCCCACCGCGTGGCTGCATGACTAAAGAACCGTGGGAAGGGTTCCTAGCAAAGCCTGCAATCTGGCCAGACCTTGACCCCCAGGTCAGGGGAAGAATGCAATCTGGAGTTGGGACGGAGGCATGTCCTTAGGCAGCATAGCCTGGAGCCGGGCCGTCCCTGATGGCAGAATGAGCGGCCCCCTCGGGTGGGCAGTAAGGGGTGAGCTCAGGAAATAGCCCCCCTCTCGACCAACTCCTGCAGGGAGACTGAGGCACGGGAGCTGTGACCCACAGAGAAGAGACTCCTCTGGGGAAAGCTAGATGGGAGTTGAGCTTCAGGCTCAGGTGTCCTAGAGGCCAGTGCCGGAGGGCTGAGCTCCAGCCGGGAAGAGGGTCTGGGACAGGAGGAGAGCTGTGGTGCGGAGTGGCGTATGGAATCCAGTGAGGCGACGGACTTTAGTTTGAACCCTGCGAAGGGTTAAGAGCTCTGTTTAAACTGGCCCCAGGCAGGGGTGGTGGCGGCCCAGAGAGGAGTCTGTGCGGTTCCGGGGCTGGCCCTGAAGCGGGAGGGGGAGGGAGACGGACTGAAGCAGGGGGTTGGCAGAGACGCCCTTGGTCCCAACCAGGCGTTCAGGAGGTGGCCAACCCAGTTACAGGATTCCAGCCTGCAAGATGGGGAAGTGGCTCTGTTGCTGTCCATATCCCTTCCCCATCTGTGCCCAGCAATCCGCAGACCAGTGGGGTTCTCCTGCCGCACTACCATGGCTGGCTGGCAACCAGGAGTGGCCCGAGGCATCAGCTGCGGCAGCCGGCCCCAGGCGGAAGGTGCGATTGGCGCCCCTGCCTGCACAGCCATCAATGGCCGTGACGTAATCACGGGGCACCCGGGCGCCCTGTGACGTCATCGGGCGACCGCCTAGTCTGCCTAGACTCACAGGCCGTCCTTGCTGGCAGCCCTTTGCTTGCATCAACAAATTAGCTAGCTCGGTTCTGGCTTTCGGCAGGTGACTCCTGCCAGCAGAGCAGAACCTGCGCCACTTCAGTTGATAGGTAGCGGTTTCCTCTTGCCACACGGCCCATTCCGAACCTCCCGTGTACAAACACCAGCTTGGTGAAGCACTCTTCCTTCTGGCTGCTCACTACCAGGGATCAGATAGCTAATAAGGGCGGGTAAGTGCTATTCACCTAAGTACAACTTCCTAGCTGCTGCTGCCTCTAGAAAGAGACTTGCCTGTGGAGTATTGCTCCGTCTGGCTTGTGAAATTTACAAGGTAGAGTTTGCTAATTAGCCAGGCCTGGCTTTCGCAGTCTGGGCTCTCTGCTGCTTGTTTCTCCCGATGGCAAAGTGTTCTTCGAGTAGGGTACAAAGCCATGAGCGCGCTCCAAAGACCTGCACCAGCCTTGCTGCATGGCACCTGCAGCTAATGTAACTGTGGGTTTGGAAAAGGGGCAGCATGTGGCTGGAGTGGCGAACTTGATACCAAAGAAAATTAAATCTGACCCCTTCTCCCAGTGCCTGATCTGCTCCATGTGTGGCTAATGCCCGTAACGAAGGCAAACTGCCAGCCTGGCAGTCCCCTCGCATGCCATGCTCTCGCCACTGCAGGTCCCGTCGATGGAAGGGAGAGGTGGGGGCTGGGGGAGCTGCCGCTGCCTCTGCCTCGTGGTGGCTTCCATTCTATCCAGGGTAGTTGGGTTCAATAGCTCTCAGCACCCCCGTACTACACCTCCGCCCGGAGCCCCTCCAGCTCTGTCGGTGAAGGCCTGGGGGGGGGGGGGGGTTGGTGCCAGGCAGAACTGGGGGAGGGCAGACGGCACAAGGACCGTGTCTGGGATCAGCAGTCTGTCTAGGCCTGGTCGTTCGCTGTGTGATCCTTGCGCCTGGCTGTGGGGCAGAGCCCAACCACTGCACTGAAGTTCTCGCACCAATCCACTCGGCCGTGTCATCTTAGCCCAGGGCCAGACCCGTAGGGCCCTGCATAGGGCCCGGCTCTGCCTTCGCTCTTGGGGCTCTGTGGTACCAGTTTTGGCCCATGGCTGCTGAAAGCCAGAAATGGTGAAACTCCCTGGTGGGAGGAGGGGAGTTGGAGACCAGACAGGCTTCTTGTAGGGGAGCCTCATGCAGAGAGATTGCGCTGCCGGACACCGCAAGGCAGGGCTGTGGGCAGAGCAGGCTACACACCCTGGCCTGCCTACCCTCCCATCTCCTTCCTAAGGCCACATCCTGCTGCTTGGGAGGCTGCCTTTGCTGGCTCCCACAGCACTCCCTGTGGCCAGCCACTGGCTACCAACTTTGCTCCTCTCACCACAGCACCTGCTGCCCGAAGGAGCCTGCCTGGTCCCTCCCCAGCTGCTGGATCTTGGCCGGTTACAGGCCCGGAGCAGGAGGGTGCTTCAGCTGGGGTGAGGGGAACCCCGACGACTCTGCAAGTCCAAAGTAGTGTGACCTGCCACAGGCTTTGCGAACGCTCTGGTCTGCAGCCCGGGGCCGATAGGCACCATCTCCGGAGTGTCCTCCAGTGACGCTGCTCCGGCTTTGTGCCAGTGAGTCCTGTATGTGGGTTCTTAGCTGGCAGGTTGGTTGTTTTTTTTGGTGGGGAAGGGGGTGCCTGTGATCCTCACTTCAGGCCATTGGTGCCCAAGCTGCTTCTGGGTTGGTATCGCCTGGGTCATTTGCCTTTCTCTGTCTCTTGCAGGGGTTCTGACAGCTGGCGAGCACACCTTTCCCTTCCAGTTCCTGCTGCCAGGTACGGGGGAGACACTGACTGCTTGGGTGGCTCGCTGGGCCTCGGGGCAGCGAGAACATAGTGACTCCTTTTGGGGAGACACCCCTCTCTGGCTTGTCCAGTTAAATCACCCGCTGGCTAAGGGGGGGACAAGAGCCTTCCTGCCAAGCACCGCCGGTCCTGCAATGGAAGGACAGGATTGATACTGGATACTTCTACTAGAGGATTTACCTGGTGTTGCTCGGGTCCTTAACTCAAATAAGTTCTGTTCTTCATTGCTGGGGCTAAGGGTTCAGGATGCAGGCTGCTTCGGGGGGAGGACAACCCCAGTCCTCTCTCATCACAGCAGCTTGGGGCCCAGCGAAATGCCTCTCTGGCTGCTGCAGAGGGTACAGTTGGGGAAGGGGTGCATGTCACCCTGGCTTTGTCTGTGCGTCTGTCCATCCCCCCCCCAAGACAGACACACACAGTAGATAGCTGTCCCTTTCTTTACCCCTGCCCCTGGTGGCCCAGTGGGGTGATAGCTGTTCCAGCCCCCATCTCTGGCCCTTGCTCTCCCAGCCTCCCCTCTTCCCCATGGTCATTCTACAGGATAATTGGTGTCCCTCCTATCAGACCACTTCCATACCCTTCCCTTTCCATGTTATGAGAAACAATCAAATTCCAGGCCTATCCCATTGTCCTGCAGAACCAAACCCTGACTTGGCTTCAAGTTAGGAGAGGAAGCTGCCTCCCGAATTTGGTGACCCTCGCCTTCACCATTTGAGGCGTTCTTGAACAAACGGACTCGGACGGACACACACACAGTTTCTAAAAATACACTAGATGGTAAAAATGGGATGCTGCCGCTGTTGCGTTGTCTGAGTTTGTAAGCAGGCGGTTAAGTGAGGTGAACCGTGGGGGTGTGCAAGGAAGCCAGCCTCGTGAAAGGGGTACAGGAGTCTGGAAAGACTTGAGCCACTGAACTACACGTGGTATAAAAAAGACGGAAGCTACTGGAGTCTGCCCACACTAGCATCCCCCTGCCCCACCAGCGCTGGGAGGCGCACCAGTGGGAAAAGGAAGACGCAGTGGTTCCAATGGACCAGATTTGGTCTCCGATCTTTCAGGCCCAGGCTCAAATGCACTTGGGAGATCCAAATCCAAATAGTAGCTAGGTTCTGCCTCTTCTCTTGAGCTACCGGAAAGCGTTGCAGACTCGGGGGGTAAGGCCTAGCTCCCTCAAGGGTTTCTTTTGACGTCTGCCTTTGGAATGCAGCCTCAGCCCCCACATCCTTTGAAGGCCCTTTCGGAAAGGTGGTCCATCAGGTCAAAGCCGTGATAGACACGCCCCGATTCGCCAAGGACCACAAGTGCAGCAAGCTCTTCTACATTCTCTGCCCACTCAACCTGAATGACATCCCTGACATCGAGGTAAGAGCGCAACTGGGGGGGGGGCCAGAGGCTCTTGCCCCCTAGAGTGGCCCCTCTTGGGATAAAGGAAAAGCCGGTCGTTCCTCTCCCCCATCCAGTGTTGCCCTGCCAGGCCAGGGCAGTAATGGCTAACTCGGAGGAGAGGGTCACTCCTAGAGCTCATTGCATAGGAGGAGAGGCAGTAGAGGTTAGCGCGTTGTTGCCTAGAGCCCGGCAAGGTGTCATTGGTCCAGGCCCTAAATCCATGGGCCTGTTCCCTCTGAAATCTCCACTAGCACCTACATGCCTGAGAGCTGCATGAACTCTCCTTTCTCCAGGTGATCCCTCTGGGCATAGGCCTGGAGAAGCATGTTCTCTGCCCTGCCCTACAGGTGGCTCTAATGACCCTTGAGTCTAATCACACCATCTGGTTTGTGCTGGCCTGGAACTTTCCTGGTGCATGGACCCTTGTCCAGGCTCACTGCTGGTTGAGGAAAGCGATGCTCCCGGCCTGGTGCCTACCCTGAGGTGCTCGTAGCCTCTTGGAATGTATCAAAGGGTGGCACTGAAAGAGGCACATTTCCTGGGACTTGGAGGTGAGGACGAGGGCTTGGCAGGAACAGGGGGACTCGTCCAGGCCTGGGGTGGGGGAGTGCCCCAAAGGCAAGTGTGGAGAAGCAGTGGGACCCAAGGGAGCCCTTACACATGACTGGGAGGAGGTAAAGAGCGAGCGAGTGAGCCGGATGCCTCGCGGATGGGTGTTACCGATGCCGCGTAGAACGCACAGGCTGTAGCAAGACCAGCTGTTCAGGATGGGGGAAACCCCAAATCCTCTTTCCCATCAACTGCTTTTCCTGCAAACTCCCCCTCGAGCCCCACGCCTGACCTGCTGCCCTCCCCTAGCAACCCAACACCGCGTGCATCACTAAGAAGTTCAGCTACAAGCTGGTGAAGAGCGGAAACATCGTCTTAACCGCCACCTCGGACCTGAAAGGCTACGTCATGGGGCAGGCAATCCAGCTGCGCACCGACATCGAGAACAAGTCTGGCCGGGACACAGGCACCATCGTGGCCAGTCTCCTGCAGGTAAGAGTCCTCGGCAGGGGCTGGGGCCGCTGGCTCTGGGGGGGGCACCAGCCCG